AAATTGTACTTTGGAATTAGCAGTTAAGTAAAAGCCGATATATAGTCAATTTATGATATTCTGCCAACAAGATTGATACACACAGTTTTATTTTTGTTAACACAAATACGTTTTAATATACACACAACAATACAATTTATAATAACAGTTATTACAAATAGTTATTACAAACTATGATTTATATAAAAAAGTTTTACAAATTTACAAGTAATATAAAGTCTTCTTTCTAGTCTGGAACTTCTTCGATATCTTATCGAGGGTTCACGATGAACGAGTTAATTATGAGTTGATGTAGGTATAATTCAATTAACAGGGATCTAGCTAGCTTTGTGCTTCGCTATTCACCAGCTACACACGAGTTTTCCACGATGAAGTTATATAATGTTTTCGTAAAAATACTAATGTCTGATGAGAATCAACTGAAGTTAAATGATTTGTAATGTTTCAACTTTGTAAATGCTCCTGGTCAAATATCTGAAGTTTTCCGTCTGATACGCGTTATAGCAATCACAGTTATAGCTTCCGAAGTTTATAGCACACCAATAATAGATACTACTTTTTTGGCGCGGCGCGTTGGTTATATTTATAGGCGTATGGAGAGTTTCTAGAAAATTCAGATTACGTAACAATGCAAAGCTACATTAAGCGTTTACATACATACATATATTGTTGATTCTTACACTCGAGAATCTTCTACAACTTTAGAGAATAGGCGGGAGTTTCGCGATATATATAATTAACAGTATAAGTTATGTATGTTTATAAATATAAATTTAATTTAAACAAACGTCGATATTAAAATACATATATAATAATAAATCCGTCACACCCTCCTTTTTTTCACTGTACGATATGATAATAAGTAAAAGGTACCAAGGAATTGCAACTGACTGATGAGTCAACCAAAAAATTTATGAATAAGAAAATGGACAATCCACAGTTTTCAAATGTCCTGAGTTATGAGTAGTTTCAGGACTGGTACAAATAAGTGTTCCCAAATTTTCTTAGTACAAGTCACCCCCGAAACATTCTGCATTCTAAGTGAGCCTCCTTCTCTACCCTCATTGAATTTACAAATAATGATTACCTTACAAATATTGTGTATTTGCTACGACCTTCAACACTTTTCTGCAGCCACCACTGTGGAAACCTTTGGTCTAAGCAACGCAATACAAAGGTTTTTAACTAGTAGATTTTGTCACATGAAGAATAACCTAGCTTCTTGCTTTTAAGAATAATTAAATGTATGCCAACTTTGCTTTGTGCTTGCGAGCGTCTGGAAGTGAGTTCTAGGGTAGATAATGTATTAGGCTGTCAATAAATTAATGTCGCGTTTTGGAACACTTTCATTAACCCCCCCCCCCCAAAAAAACGTACATCGCGTATAATAGTTAAACGAATCGCCTAAATGTCACGTTAGTGTAGCCTATATAATGTGTAAAATGTAGCCTATATAATGTGTAAAGTTTAGTATACTCTAGTCCCTTATAGTGATGGCACACGACGAGACACACATTCGGCAAGTAATGCTGTTTGAATACAAGAAAGGAAACAACGCCTCTGTAGCCACAAAGAATATAAAAGAAGTTTATGGAAATGTTTTAAACGTTCGTAAGTGTCAACAATGGTTCAGAAAATTTCGATCAGGTGACTTTAGCCTTAAAAACTGTGATGGCAAGGGCCAACATGTTGGAATTAATATTGATGCTCTGAAGACGCTTGTTGAGTCTAACCCAAGGCAACACACTCGTAAAATGGCGCTGAAATTGCATGTCTCTCATGAAACAATACGTAAGCATCAAAGGAATATGGGAAAACTCTATGAAGAAGGTGTTTCGGTGCCTCACA